CTCTCTCTCTCTCTCTCTCTCTCTCTCTCTCTCTCTCTCTCTCTCTCTCTCTCTCCCTCTTGAAACGTTTTAACTCTCTCTCTCTCTCTCTTGAAACGTTTAACTCTCTCTCTCTCTCTCTTGAAACGTTTAACTCTCTCTCTCTTGAAACGTTTAACTCTCTCTCTCCCTCTCTCTCCCTCTCTCTCTCTCTCTCTCTCTCTCTCTCTCTCTCTTTCTCTCTCTCTCTCTCTCTTTTGAAACGTTTAATGAATTTACGATAGGTCCGTTTGGTAAAATAATCACGATCTTCAAAACCCTACAAAAAAAAAAAACAGAAAGCTTCCGAGAATCAAAGCCCTATTCCAGAAGCTACCCCTCAATATCGAGACCCGGCGTTGACCTGGCTGGTGTTAAATCATCAGCGGCTTTGAAGTCGGATCTCACATGCCTTTCATGACATGACACATGGAGGCTGTACCTGAAGTGGGCCATAGTAGAATCCGGACCAGATTCTGGATCTGCTTCTAATGGCGCACGGCGCACGGGCATCCTATATATATAGGGTTCAGCCTCCTGATGAGTCGGTGAAACTCCGACGAAACAGTTTGTCACAGCCCCTTGTTTGTTGTCCTCTTCTCTCTCTCTGCCTACGGTTTACCGGGCAGTTCTGTTTGTGACGAGATATATATATATATATATATATATTTTTTTTTTTCAGTCCTCTTGAACTGTACCAGAATGGAGAACCCTTTTGTGGACTTCAGTTTTTTTCTTGTTTCGTTGTGGGGTAAATGAATTCTATTGTAACGCGCCGGCAGATCTGCACAGCGCAGGCCTTTTGTTAACTGGCACAAGTTGCTGGTAGCTTGTGGCGCTGGCACAAGTTGCTGGTAGCTTGTGGCGTGCTCATGCCTTCAAACCACCAGTACCCTTCCCATATATCGGCCGCGGGCAGTTTCGGAGGGGCCCGAAACGAAAAACGGGCCGCCGATGAAATTTATCGACGGCGGCCCTTTCCCGCTTGGCTTCCGAATACATCGGCGTGACTTTTATTTTCAAGTGGGGAAAGGTACTTGTGGTTGAAGTCCAGAAACTCACGAAAGCTGCAGCTCCCCACTGATACAGGTGGCCTGAACGACAACTGTGCCATCTGCAGGCTACCACGCTTTTTTCGAGGGAGGAGGAGGGGGGGGAGAGGGGTAGGTTGCGGGGGAAGAACGTTTTTGGGAAGAGGCTTAGGCAAGGGCGCTTTCAAAATAGGTCCATCTGCTCTGGCAACTGAGGTAGAACTGCCAGGTATTTATTGTTAATTTGCAACTGTACAAACGTTGGCGAGAGCCGGGACTTACGGCGGGCAGAGACGGAAGGCAGGCGGGGAAGAACAGGCATGGAAAGAGGCTTTTGGGCACGGGCGTTTTTTATATCGGTCCTGCTGCTCTGGCACTTCTTGGTAATTCGGAGCTGTGTGGAAACTTGCCCAGCTTGAGAACGGTGGAACTGTGGTAATTTGGAATAGAGGACAGTGGTAAATTGGGACTGATCTGCACAACGTGGCCAGCCTTGTATGTGAGAGGCACAGTAAAAACGGATCTGCAAGAACAAATAAAGGCGTAGTACCGAAAAGAAAGCCTAAGAAGTGAAGATAGTCAAGAAATGGATTTACTGGATCTATTCTGCTCCATGTTTGCTTGCCATAGAGGCAAAACTGTTTCATTGTTGGATTGGCTTATATGAAGTGTGCTTCATTGTCTGCAATAGAGGTAAAGCTGCTTCAATTTTGATCTACTCATCTGGGTGGAACAGGGGCTGTTCTGGCGAAAATCTACAACACACACACACACACACACACACACACACACACACACACACACATTGTTTCCCTCTCT